TTTATACCAATTGGAAATGTTGAATGCAACATTTCTCTTCAGAAAGGCTGTACTCCTTTATGAGTTCCTGTGTTTCTACATGCATTCAACATGTAGTGTTATTCACCTTTATAGCTCTTGCCAACCAATATCTGATACATATAATGGGACATTTCAATATTTTAATTTGCTTTTTTCTTAATTATTGATGACTTTGAAAAACTCTTTATATGCTTGTTACCCTTTTGACTTCCCTCTTCTGTTATCCCTTGACATCCTTCATCTATATTTTTATCTATTTTTTTCTATCTTTTCATTTTGTAGGAGTTACTCATATAGGCAAATATGAAACCTTTGGCTCTTATGAATCTGACCACCTAGTGGTGATAGTGTAAGATAATAGGAATGGGGAAGATACGGTGGATTATATTGGTGCAGTTATGCAGAAAGAAGCCCTTTTTGAAATGTCTATATTTCAGCAGATTGAGGAGGAGGGACATGGTGGGGAATGGTTGGGTGCAGTCATCGCAGTTGGAACATGGTTGTGAAAGCTGTATTAAGGGTCTCAACAACCTGAGTTTCTGGATACCAGGAATCTCTTGGGTCTAAGGAATATCCAAGCAGCTGTTCATTCTGATACTTAGAAATGATGTCACCCTAGGTCACTCTTCTGAGCAGTGAGGAAATCCCACTATCAGAGAAGGAGGAAGTCTAGCCAAGATTGTTAGTCAGGGTTATATCTTGTCCTCTCAATGCCTAGCACAGTGCCAGTATATAAGAATTATGCATTTGTGAAATAGAAATTTATCTATTGGTATTTATTATTACTCTTTACATGACTATTTCTGCTACTGTGCACTCACTTAAAAGGATTTTAAAAATATATGTTTAGTGCTTATTTAGCTAATGGCTGTACTAACATGGTAACATAATAGTTGCATGGAAAATTGTGCAATATCCTGTATGGCAATTATAACCTTGAAATTGTCTTAAAAATTGGATGTATGAATTCTAAATGTGTGCTCCATTAAAAGAAAAAGAGAAAATATTTTTTCACTGCCTCTACTTAAAAACAATTGATCATGATATTGTTAAGATTAAGGTTGCTAAAATAGTTGCTTAAACAAAGCTTTGCTGTTGTCTGTCATAGAGAAAAAACAATTGGATAAAGTTTGAAATATTTCTGTTTGTGACTTTCTAGGTGTTGTGGTAGAGTCTGTTCACCTTTGGTATCCTCTTGTGGTCAATAGAAGGTGTTGATTTGACCTTGTATTTAACATTTGCATATAACTTGTGATAGACCTATATGAGTATTTGACTTTTTTTTTGCCTATTTGTTTGTTATATATCACAACTTTAAGACTGGGAGTTTTCTTGCCATTCCTTAGCTCAGGGGATATGATGAAAGTGCAGCACAACCTCAGTTGCTAATCTTAGATGCTAAATAATAATGTGATCATGTGCTCAGAGTAAATGCAGGAAAGCTTGGAATACACATTGATTATAGACCTTGAACTTATCTTACACATTTGCCATCATAATTGGGTTTGGGGATTAACTTGCCATTTTTGATGGCATTTTTTTAAGATTTTATAATATACACATATAAACATATCACGCATATATATGACTTCATTGCACATGATTACGTGGTTCAGATGCACTTCTTGTGGATCTGTAGAAAACGTCATACCATTATAACATAATCTCCATTTATTTGAATCATGTTATAATGATGAGAAGTCAGTAATCACATACGGCATTTAGCGTAAAGATTTGTGCATTATTTTCCCTTCCTTCTGCAGCACTGGTTTCGGAGAAGATTCTTAGCTTGATATCCACAAGTAACACAATAGACAATCCATAGCTGTGTGGTATTAAGTTACTAAAACCAAATAGGACCTGACTTACATGAGAGTAAATCATGGCTTTTGGGAGGAAATGTGAGTCACAAGAAGTGCTCTCTGTTTTCAAGAGTATGGTTCCCTAGATTATAGTTGTCCTTCATGTGCCCTCCTCTTTCGGTTCAGCTCTTTAATTTTATACTGGAACTGAGTGTGTCTGTGTTATCTGCATCACTGGAACCTTTGAGTAGATCTCTTTTGTTGGCCTGGTGGTATGAAGTGCCAGGGTTTGATTAGGAGTCCAGGAAGTTCTTCTGGGAATGATTTTTGTATTGCCAGGAATGCTGGTATGCTGGCACTGAGTTAACATTTCCGATAATGCCAGCAAACACTGAAAAACAAAGATGCAAGTGTAGTTGCCACAGCTGTGCTCCCTTCTCCCCCACCTAGTCTCTTCTGCGCACACTGAGAACTTTTAAGCCCCCCATTGTAAGATGAACGTGAGTCAGCTTCCTGTCCTCGTCTCTAAGGCAGCTGGTCGCCCCCCACCCCCTACAGTGCTCATGTATCACAGGGACTGAATTGAGGCCGTTTGTGCAGAATCGCCCCCTGTATCATGGATATCGGTTTTTTGATCAAATGGAATGTTTGTGAGGGACTGTAATGCCCACTGTTACAAGAGGAATAATTTTGCATGTTCATTAAATATTTATTGAGCACTCTCTCAAAATTTTAATTTTAAGAAGCATAGGATATGTATATAATTTATTTGTTTATTTAAATATAAATATTTATATTAATTAATATATGTCAGTATTAATATATTATTATATTAATTATATATTTATATATATACAGGATGTAAATTTAGGATATGCATTTCCCTGCTGCAGTGTAGGGCTTGAACACCCTAAGAGACCCATATATAAAATTAGATGAACAGTTACAAGCAGAGGAAACTGATGAAGCGGACTTGTGAATGAGGTCTGTTTAAGCTGGATGCTCAGAGTAGCTCTAACTTGAAGCTGTGTTAGAAGAAATAAGCATTTATATATATAGTCTGTAGAGTGCAAAGAACAGGTGCTCTGAATGGCTAACGAGAGAGGCTTTTGAGAAGATTGCTTGAGCAGCTCAGCTGTGGGCACAAGATGCAAGGTTCAGGAGCGGACAATGGAATGCTCACTCCGGTCTGTTTCACAGTGGAGGCACGAGCGCGTCCCGTGCTGAGCCTGGTCCTGTCTGCCTCCTTCCGGTGTCTCTTCCACACTTTGCTGTGCAAGTCCCCCAGGGGCCTTTTCTGGGTGGGGATGCCGCTTGGTGTTTTCCAATGGTGTCTCGCCTAGTAGACGTTTTCTCCTTAAATGATAAAAATCCTTTGAAGATGTGACTCCCTGCCTTATTTCCAGGTATAATACAGCAGTGCACACACATCCCTGCACTTCTTCAAAGGTCTTGAACATTTACAGCAGAACCCTACTTGTTTTTTTCATTCAATGCAACTTTACCAGTTAAGTTTCTAAAGTTCCATCCATGCAACTAGATCATGATGGGTTTCTGGAAATATAATTGAGTGGATAAAAGTTTTGAGTGCTACTGGATCAGAATAGAATACCTTCATCTGTTAGTCTGGAGCTGACAACCTGAGTTGTGAGACAGACAGACCAGAGGCCTACTTGTCTTCTCCTCTCTTCCTCACTTCCCCCCAGAGTCTCCTCTCCTCTCCTCATCCATCCATTCCCTGTTATTTTTAATTAATCTCCTCCAAATATTTACTGATTCGAATAAATGAAAGCTTTATCCATAATAATCACAGAGCTTTTTAAAAAGAGCTGTCTGAATCTCTGTATAAGGAATCTATGTTTTGAGTAGCCTTTAAAATACTTAACTCTGATTAATGTGGTCCAGACATTGCACATCAAGAAACATTGAGATAAAAGGAAGGAGTAGTACTTCTTTGGCCAGGGAAATTTATGAGTGTGGTCATGTAGTGTTTATTTCATATGGACTCATAAATGGAAAAATCATACCTGGTGGATAGCATATTTATAGTTGGAGAAGATCATATGTCTAGGCATGCCCTATTCTCTTTAGAACTGTATTCTGTTTGCATTTCTATAGAAGTAAGCCTTAGGGGAAAGGTAAAGTATTCTCTTCCAACAAAAGGCTAGCCTGGTTACAGTTGAACCCATAAAACAATGTCATTTTAGCATTGCAAAGGTCAGCTATTAAGTTATGTCGAATGTATGATGCAGATGATTCTAATCCTTTTGATTTGACTTTGAACTGATCTAATTATTTCACACCACCAGTTGGTGAAGGTGTATTTTCCTTTTTATCAAGAATGTGCTGTTTGAACGCTCAGCCAATGTGAAACTGTCTTAACTAAGCCAGTGAAAAGCCACTATACTTCAAACTCCCAATTTCCTCCAGTGGACTTTTTGTTTATAATAGCCCCTCCCTATTTCCCCTTCTCTTGTTGTTGTTTAGTCACTAAGTTGTGTCCGCCTCTTTTGCAAACCCATGGACTGTAGCCCACCAGGCTCCTCTGTCCATGCAATTCCCCAGGCAAGAATATTAGAGTGGGTTGCCATCTCCTACTCTGGGGGATCTTCCCAACCCAGGGATTGTCAAATCTGTGTTTCCTGCATTGGCAGGTGGATTCTTCACCACTGAGCCACCTGGAAAGCCCATAAAAATTTCTTCTACTTAAAAAAAAAAAAAGACAAAGACTTGTTTGAAATATCAGGCATCTTTTTTTGTGACTTGGGAAATATTATGATTCCTTGCAAAGAGTTTGTGAGTGGTCTCTATAAACTGTTTGTATGTTAACTCATCTGACTCACCAAAAAAGCCTAAAAGAGACATTTTTCTCTTGGCTATGTCCCAGACTTCTAGGTCAGAATTTCTTGGGAATCAGTTATAGTGTGCTCAACGGGATGCTACTATAAGCAGCCTGCCTCCTCCATACTGTAGTTCTATGAACTTCTTTGAGAGCAGAATACATACTCAGATGATTTTGCCTCATATCCTTCTTCCCACTTCATCAAGTTTTCCACATAGTTGAGGCTCACTGAATCTTTATTAAATAATTTTATTGGATGCTTGATGGGAATGATGGAAATCAAGGTTATCTTGATTCTCTGATGTGAATGTTTTGTTGTTTTTGTGATCTCCTAGGATGGAAAGAAGAAATTTGACAAAGAGAGTGAAAAATATTATTCCATTCTTGACAAACATTTAAATTTGTCTGCAAAGAAAAAGGAATCTCATTTGCAAGAGGTAAGTTTTTCCAGTTGAAATGTGAAAAGAGCATTAGCATTGTCATGTGAAGTCCAGATTTCCAAAAGTAGACATTATCTCAGAATCTGCTCCTGTTTAATAAAATAATGATAATAAGAATATTTAAGCTAATTGTAAAGTAGTTAGCCTCCAACTAATAAAAATAAATGAAAAAAAATTAAAAAATTTAAGCTAATTGAGCATTTACTATAGATAGACAGGCAGGGTGCTGAGCATTTTACATGCTTTGTGACATTTAAAATTAACAGTCCCAAGAGAAAGATTAGTATTTCCTTCAATAATGAAAAAGAGTGAAACAAGGCTATTTCTTTTTCTTCCTGTTGGGCATATTTTAATGCCCTACTCCTGTGTGACCCCATGGACTGTAGCTCGCCAGGCTCTTCTGTCCATGGATTTCCCAGGCAAGAATCTTGCTGTGGGTTGTCATTTCCTTCTCTGGGGCGTCTTCCCAACCCAGGGATTGAACCTGCGTCTCCTGCTTGGCAGGGAGATCCTTTATCACTGAGCCACCTAGGAAGCCATTCTAAATAGCAAGACCTACCAAATTCATGGTGTAACATTTATATTAAGTTAAAAATATCTGTTCTTCAATCGCTATATCAGCATTAAGGGAGAAAAGATATACAGTTACATGTTTTGATATCTTCATTATTTTTTGTCGATTTAAACAAGTCAACAGAAATATTTTACTAATGTACACAGTGTTCTCATACAAGGAATGCATTTCTTCCTTTTTTCCTGAAAATTTGCTCTTCTCACTGGTAGTATTTTAACTATAGTTAGCCAGCTAGAAAATTCTTTTACTGAGGAGTGATGCAGTTTCACTCTAGTGATACCATATGTTTTGTTCGTTTTTCTAAATGGCTCTGTGGTCTTTCACCATCTACACTCCCCCCAGCATACAGTGGTGAGTCTCAGAGCTGAACCGGGAGTCGTTGAGCTGGGTCCCCTGCAGCTGTCACTCCCCCTACCCGCCCCAGGGAATGGTGCAGGGTCCTGAGCCTCCTTCAGTCTCTTCTCCATCTCGTCTCTGTATTTCTAGGGATTGCATCGCTGAACTCTTTCAAATGTCTCATTCGGATTCCCTAGCAAAGTCACCTTCCTTCCTGAACTGTTGTTCAAGTTCAGCTTGGTGCTCTGCCCTACTTACTCCTATTCTTCTCTGACCTTCGTGTTCAGCCACGAGGCATGCTTAATGAGTTCAAGTGCAGTGGAACTGCAGTCAAAAGGCATGGAAGAGTTACTTCTGATTCCTTTTTACTGTATTTTTATGTTCCCCTAGAGGGAATTGAATTTCCTCACTTAAAATGTTGAACGTTGGAAAGATTTGTATTTCACTGTAATGAATAACTTGTTATTAATACCTGCTATTAAAATAGGATAATTTAATAGACAGTTGGGTGCCTATGGAAAGATTTTGGGGCTAACATAAAGTGGAGAAAAATCTATTAAGATTATTAAAAGAAATTATATTTTTAATTTTCATGAACATTTTTAATCTTATAGTGTACTATGTTGTTCTTTAATATTGTGTTCACATATTCTAAACTTCTTAAATGCATGTCTATTTAAACTTTAAACATTGCCTTAGAATAAACCTGAGAGAGAATGCAATATGTAGGCGAAGTCATCTGTAGAAAAGGCTCCCCTGGTTGTCACCATCATGTACCAAAGACAAGGCCCAGGCACATTTTAAAACTTGACTGCCTCCAAATCAAGGGTAATTCATAGAGTCTCTGAAGAGTTACCAGATTCTTGGTGACTATGAGAGGCTGCCCTTAGCTGGCTGACTCTTTGCACCCCTGTGGACTGCAGCACACCAGTCTCCCCTGTCCTTCACCATCTCCCAGAGTTCACTCAGATTCATGTCCATTGAGTCAGCGGTGCTGTCTAAACATCTCATCCTCTGCCACTCCCTTCTCCTTTTCCTCCCAATCTTCCCCAGCATCAGAAACTTTTCTAGTGAGTCGGCCCTCATCACCAGGTGGCCAAAATATTGGAGCTTCAGCCTCAGCATCAGTCCTTCAGTGAGTATTCAGGACTGATTTCCTTTAGGATTGCTTGGTTTGACTTCCTAACTTTGTCATAATTTTAAAGTCCTCTAGAGATTATGCTTTAATTTTCCCTGACAGTGTAGCTCAATATTTAATACTTGTTAGTGGCTCCTAATCCGTCGGGATATGACGGAATAGAATATTCATTCTGGCTTGATATTTAGTTGGATGCTAGGAGAAAAACCTGTAACATGGTTAGTAGCATCCTCCATTTGCCCCACCACGCAAACACATACACACACACACACACACACACTTTTTTTTCCAGGAGGCACAGACCATGATAGAATACAATACAAATACAAATACAACACAAATACTATGTAAAGCAACTCCTCTGAGCATATGGTATAGAAAAGGAAAAATGTAGGTTGTTTTCTACTTTTTCCTCGGTCCTTCCAGGAGTCAAACCTGTTACAGGGAGATGCTGCTACACACATGTTTAATTCAGTAACATGGCATTAGATTCATTTGTTCCCTTGCAGAGCAGCTCTGGTCCTTCTGTCGGCACCAAGCCTATGAAGCTGTTCTCAGAAAGACCCTTTTGAGCCTTCTCAAGGACACAGCCGAGTCTTTGCTCGTTTTGCTCATGGAAATCCGAGTGACTACCCAGGACTGAATTAGGGGTTAGCTTGTGTTGGTAAAGCTCCAAGGCCATCTATTAGATGCACCTTTGGAGTACATAGAATTGGAAACAGACTTGTCAAAATTATGGACTTTACAGTAAACTAAAAGAAGTAATATTTGAAATGTGAATAGATAATTTCTAAGCATAAACCAAGAGGAAGAGATCATGAAGGAAATGTAGAAAGACCAAAATGCATAAAAGTAATCTGTTTCTTTCAAAAGACCTTAAATCAAATTAAAAGATGAAGTATTAGGGGACTTATATGACACAGGACAACCATCTCCTACATATAAGATGTTTTTGGAAATCAGTGTGGAAAAGATAAAGGTTTTAGTGAAAAAAAATGGAATAAGAATATGAAAGGGCATTTCATCAAAGAAGAAATATAAACCATAAGTTTCTATATCATACATTTTGAAAGTATAATTTAATAATAGTAGCAGCATGTTAATTTATTAAAAGATAATATCCATTGTTAGTGAAGGTATGGGAAACTGAGCAGACTTTGGCTTTTCTGGTGGGAATATGAAATCATTCAAAAACTTTTGAGGTATATTTGACCATATTTCAATCAACCTTATATGTGCAAGAGAGTTGAAATGATTTCTGCTGATAGGAATTTGATTGGAAGAAATGATTAGAAATGAGTATAAAAATAAATTGTGTGAATATGTTGATCCAAGAGTTATTCACAATAAAAATTTTAGAAACATCCAAAATAGCACAAAAGAATGATTGGGATAAATACACAAATAGAGCTTGGCCAAAAACAGAATTGATATGACTGAAACTTTTATTTGAAAAAGCATTTAAAGACGTTTGGGAATATTTGTTAGCCTAAGTGTGGAATAACAGGGTTTAAACCAGAATATATACTATTATTCATGTCTTTTAAAGTAATTTTTTGTGTGCATGTTGTACATCAAACTATTTATAGTGAGGCTGCAGCTAATTTATTATCTTTACATTTCCCTGTTATAATAATGAACAATGAATATAGTAATAAGTATGTATCAGTTTTATAGTTAGAAGAGTATAGGGGTTCCTTTTAGGAGCCAAGAGTTTGGGTTTCTATTAGTATCTATAAGTAAAGATGCTTTCAGCAGGACCTCCTCGCCCACCTCCTGAGTGAAGGTAACCCCTCATGTTTTTGTCCTTCTCTGCATCCCCAGAGTCTATGCTCCTTTCATATTGTCTGTGACATCTCAGAGAGTGTTTCCCAGCGTGCTTCCCATCCTGACCACCTCTGCACTATCCACTGACGGGTTACTACGACCCCATAGTGACATGTGTGAAATCTCACCCATTTTCTCCAATTTGACCCTGCTTCTCACGTCTTTAATTCTGTTAATGCTTGGTGTTATTTCTTGTGTCAAAATTATCTTCGACTTTTCCCCCTTTGCCTCTCACACCCGCATCCTCAAGCTTGTCTTACTAGGATATACCAAACACCTTTACCCGTATCAAGTAAGAGGTCCCCTTCTGTTCAGGTGCACCCAGCTTCTCCGCTGAATCAGTACATTCTACACCGCGCTCACGCTAATCTTCTGACCTTCCCGAAGTCCAGCTCTGATCCTGACCACACCTTCCTCCAGTCCTTGCCTGGTTTACCAGATGCGGTGTGTACTCATTCTCTCTGCGCTGGCTCAGCTCTCACCTCTGACAGTTTCAGACAAACCCCTCTGCACCATCTACCAGAGCATAACCTCTCTTGACTTTAGTCCCTCACTAAAACTCTTCTTTTATCTCCACCTTCTCTGAACCTCTCCATTCCTCAGCATCCAGCTTAAATCCTTTTTCCTCTGGGAATAAATCAACAGCTCTCACCTGAGTGATAGTTTTTTTCACTATCCCTTTTTCCTCTGTTTTGAATTGAGACAGCTTAGAGTGTGTGAGGAGGAATTTAGGTATCTGCAGTCTGCTGAACTGTGTGGTTTTCTCATGTACCTAACTTGGTTTCTTACTGGGATGACTTTGCCAGATAATCAGCAGCTACTTAAGCAATCTATTGTTCTGGAGTAATTACTATTCCCTTTCAGTTTTAAAAGTTTGGACTATGAATTACATAGTTATCTTATTTCTCCAGTACAAAATACTTGACCACAGTTGTTAATGAGTATATAGCAACTGATACATGCTGTGAGCTCAAGGACTATAGGAATTCATCTGAGGTAAAAGAATGTCTTTCTAAATCTGGCACTGCAAAAAAAGAGAGAATTAAGCTATTGTATTCTTTTAGTACCGTGAATTCTAGATGACCTTTCACAGAAGATTTGTGTAGTAAATTTAGTTGTTGACATCTAAGGGAAACCAGGCACAAGCTTCTAAGAATCCTCTCCCAGAGGATTTAATTCACACAGGACCTAATTCCCTCAGCAACGAATCATAACAACACGCGTGAAATGGTATCTACTAGAATCTCCAGGGACTTCCCTGGTGGCTCAGATGTAAAAAGTGTGTCTACAATGCGGGAGACCTGGGTTCAATCCCTGGGTAGGGAAGATCCCCTGGAGAAGGAAATGGCAACCCACTCCAGTACTCTTGCCTGGAGAATCCCATGGACAGAGGAGCCTGGCGGGCTACAGTCCATGGGGTTGCAAGAGTTAGACACGACTTAGTGACTAAACCACCACATGCAGTTTTCAGGATCTTTTGTAGTGTTATTCCAGCCTTGCCTCTGCCTCCTTCCCTCCACTTACTCTGGAGGCAGACTCTGTCAGACTTCTTCATCCCTCTTTACGTTTTCATGGGAGTGGCCCCTTTTTTTATCTTTGACTACTCATGGCCAGTTCTTCATCTTAAGATTCAACTCAGAACACCACCATTTTCTTTCCCCAGAATTTAGACTCTCTTTTGTGATTGCTTAGATTTTCATATGGATTTACATACCCTTTTATAATAATTTTTAATTTAATGAGTGTTGGATGTTTGCTCTGTTTGTGTGTGTATGTTTTCGTCCCATTCCATACACTATAAGCTCTCTTGGACAAGGACTGTGTTTTCATAGTCTTTGTATTCCCAAGATACAATTGCTATATTCAAACTTTTAGTAGGACTTAATTTTTGAAAAAGGTTTCAGAATAGAATAATATTTGATTTCTTCTCTAACATAAACCTTCAATAATCACTCCCTATGTCATGATTTGCCTTTTTGTCCTTTTTAGGCAGATACACAGATTGACCGAGAACATCAGAACTTCTATGAGGCATCACTAGAATATGTCTTTAAAATTCAAGAGGTTCAGGAAAAAAAGAAGTTTGAATTTGTTGAACCGGTAAGATCTATTTTCTGTATAAAATAGTAGCTGTAATACATCTTCTAAGCAAAATCTGCAGTTTTTTTCTGTTGACAATTATGGTTTTTAAAAATAAAAGGAGAGGTGCGTGGGAGGGTATGTAGGTGGAGCATGGAGCACTTTAGGGCAATGAAATGTCCTAAGCTATAGGACACTGTAATGGTGCATACATGTTATTCATTATACGTTTGTCAAAACCCACAGCAGGTCCAATACCAAGAGTGAACTGTAATGTAAACTGTAAACTTTCATAATAATGTATCAATCTTGGGTTATCATTTTGTAACTGATGTACCACACTGATGCAAGGTGTTAATAATGGGAACCTGTGTGGGTAAGGGCCAAGGGGGTGTGTGTGAACTCTAATTTCTGTTCAGTTTTTCTGTAAATCTAACACTGCTCTGAAATAGCCTGTTTATTTAAAAAGCCTAAAATTTAACATTAAAGCATGTATATTACATATACCTAAGGGAAAACACCTCACCACTAAAGTGACCCATTTACCAAATCTTTAGTTGAAGGGAGAGAAGGTAAGGCTGTATTTCTTCTTTTGTTCCACTCTGCTTCCTTACAAGGCGGAGACCTGCCTGACTTTCCAGTGAAGTCATTTATTTTCCTAAGTCGGTGTAAAAAGTAATGGATTCCCTAATGTAAACTGCATTGCAGAAAAGAACAGGTGGCTGGTCTTTATAAACTTACTTCGTTTTCTTGGCATTTTTTCCCTAGTAATACCTTAATATATTACAATATTGCCTGAAAAGGCATTTTCATGAGGTATCATCTGTGATGAATAAGGGTAAGTTCTATAGTCAAAATGTTAGAGTATTGATCATAAAATATAAATATATAATTTAACCCCTCTTTTCTTCGTATGTCAGTTTATTAAAAAAAAAAACTACTTATTATGAGCAATAAAATACCCTATTCCTAATTTAGTGGATGATAGGGAGAAGGGAAGATACATTTCTAAATATATTCGGAATTTTATTTCCCGATGAAAACCATCAGTGATTACCTAAAGGTGATGGGAAGCTGGGACAGAGCAGAGTCCAGGAACAGTCTTAGCCCCTGCTAAGACTCTGTATCCCTGCTTCACTCCTGTCCCTTCAGCTAGAGCCAGCTGCCTTTCTGCTGGCCTCTTCGCACGTTTCCAAGACCAACCCTTCTCCTCGAAGGGTTTAAGGGACTGGAGACCACACCACAGGCTCAAGAATTTAACTTTATATAGCTCAGTTGGTAAAGAATCTGCCTGCAATGTGGGAGACCTGGGTTCAATCCCTGGGTTGGGAAGATCCCCTGGAGAACGGACAGGCTACCCACTGCAGTATTCTGGCCTGGAGAATTCCGTGGACTGTATAGTCCATGGGATCACAAAGAATCAGGCATGACTGAGCGCTTTCACTGTGATGACAGCCTTGACTGCAGGTCCTGTTTGCCAAACAGTAAGTCCTCAAACCCCCTAGTTTGAATTGATAGCCTCTTATTTAGCAGTTGCTTTGGGGTCTGATAAACTTCTACGGGGCTTTCTGAAACTCATCTGGGGTTCATGGACATATGGTCAGCCTGACAAGCCCTCATCAAGGAAGATGACTGATTCTTAAAAGTCCTCCTCCTCTTCTGGTGGAGTAGGTCCTGCCTCTGAGTCATATCATGGTTTTTGAAGCCTTGTCTCCTTATTGGCACGCTTCCCCCCGGCCTGCCTCTTGGGATTTCTGAATTTCAGCTCTTTGTTAGAGTGTCCCCATTAGTTCTGATGCTTTCCCTTTCCCCTCCTTCCGTAGGCATTCCCATTCCCTGCAGACACTGTGCTCCTCTGCCGTGCGGGGTCTTCCTCGCACCTGGAATGATCCTTTCACAGCTGCAGTAACTCTCTCCTCTGAAGAGGCATGCGTGTAGCCTGTTTCCCCATCCAAGACTCTTTTATAGCCCATCCTGTCTGGGAACAGTGAACCAGACCATTCTGTAAGATGACATCAGGTATATAGGAAAAGGTTGTAAAATCGTTTGCTCACAGGTCACAGAAGGAATGCTAAGAATTTGTGAATTCGTATGACAGTACAGGTAGAGAAGTGGAAACTGTCCTTCAACTGAGATGTGTTTTCTTCCTTCCCTCTGTGGTATCCCATACTGGGATGGTCTGATAAGTCTTCTGAAATGCATGCCTTTCTGGTGACACCACAGTCAAGGTCGATGTTAAATTTGTCCTTCTTCCAAAACATTTTCCTGGCTGCTGGATTTTTCTTGTTAGAATGTCTGGCCAAACCAAATAGTACTGTCAGTTTAGTCTCCTTCCATTTCCAGCCACAAAGTCTCATCCATGGGATTTTACTTAATTTCCACCCCCGTACTGAGAAGAATAGAAATGGGAGTACTAGAACATGGGCATGCTCCATTCTACATTTACAAATTAATTTAGAGGAAGAAAGCTTTTAAGATTTCAAAAACAAAGCCCCCAGGAGCTATAAAGATAAAAACACATGAGGATACTTTAATATCTTTGAAGGTTATTTCCTGCAGAAATCCAATTCCTGTTGTATAAAGCTTTAAATTGAAGAAGTGAAGCAATCTATGCTAGTTTAGCTGAGATTTGTTTAACAAATAAGCATTAGAGTAAAGCAAAATACTTTAGGGATGTGACTTAAACAGATTCTGTGATAGCAAGCAGAAAATATAAATAGTCCTGTTGATGCCCATTAAATAATATTCTTGCTTTATGATGATCATTTGAGACTAATTTTCCTTGATTTCAGTTAATGTCAAGATCCTCCTATAGTTGACCTTTGAACAATACGACTTTGAACCATGTGGATCTCACTTATATGCGGATGTTTTTCAATAAATACCACAGTACTACACAGTCTGCGGGTTGGTTGGGTCTGCAGATGCAGAGCATCAGATGCCACAACTGGTCTGTAAAGTTATACGCAGAGTTCCAAAGGATGTGTGTGTGTGTGTTGTGCACACACACGCACATGAGCATATAGGCATCCTTAATTCCCACATTGTGTAAGGGTCAACTTGTACTTACGATAAAATGTCTACAGAATGCTCAGGTGGTACCAAGAAAAGATGTTCCTACAACTTCATTATTCTTAGGAGAATCTGAGTCTAAAATATGGAAAAAGAGGGGCATTTATATATTTTATATAAATTACTGTTTTTGAAGTATACAGAAAGCCAGCTTTTTAAACTCAGTTCTCCATTAGCTATATGATTTTAATGACCTTTTCCGCCTGCTTGTCATGTTTTATTTGGAATGTGATGGTAGCGAATTCATAATCTCTAGACTCACACTACTCAGTGTGGTAGCAACTACGTATGTATGACTGTCAAACCCATGAAATGAGACTAGTGTAGATTAAGATATGCTCCAAACCTGAAACACATACTAGATTGCAAAGGCCTAGTACAAAAAAGAAAGCCTTTCTTTTTTAAAGAAATATCATTAAATCCTCTTTTATAGTGAGTACATGTTATGAAATGATAATATTTTGAATACACCATATAAAATATTAAATTTCACTTGCTTAAGTTTCTTGTGACTACTAGAAAGTCAAAATTTTCACATTAGTTTACATTTGTGGTTTGTGTTATATTTCTGTCTAGCAGTGCTAGACTGTATCCTTTCAGATTTGCCAACAAGATATGTCAGTTAAGGTCTGTAATGGGGGAAAAGAGATCAGAGAGGGAGAAATATGATTTCCTGATTCCTGATTGTAAGATCCTCCTAATTCTCAGAGTTGCGCAGATTTTATGAGAATTTTGAGGGATTAGGAGAAAAACCTTGAGAAGTAGCTGAACATGAACAGCCTACAAAAGAGAGTTGAATGCAGTGTCTTGAAAGTCTGTTGTGGAATATGAAGTCTGTGACTCAGAAAACCGAAGTAATCTTTTTATAATTTAACTCCCTTATTCATTCAGCTGCAGTTGGTTTATGTTTTGATTGTATCCTGCAAGTGTACTTAGTTGGGACTAGTGTTCTGTGAGCATCTACTCTGTGTCCTGTTTTCTGCCTCCTCCCGTGTGAACCCCACCACGGCTTTATTATTGGTAGTTTTTATCCTTCAAGATGAGGAACTTAAGTCACAGAAAGACTATTAGTTGCCTGAGGTCACAAACCTAAAGAGAGAGAGAACCAGGAAGCCAGATCCCAAGTCCAAAGTTAACTATTTCATACCACCAACAGCCTTAAGGACTATTTCATTACAAAAATTAGTTCTTATTGCTTGCTCTGACCAAATAAAATGGATGACCCTAGAAAACTGGACTGTAAAGCTATTTTAATTCCTTAAAAATTAGAAGAAGAAAATAAGAGATTTATCTTCACTTTGGTAAAGATGATTGAGTCCATGCACATATCTGTTCATTCATTCACTTGTTCTTCCATCCTTCTTTCATTATTCTGTTTTAAGTTGTCTACTGAGGCCACAGGTAACTGGCCACTTTTCTTGTAGAGACAAAGTATAATGGCTGAGTGACCATAAGTTGAAATTTGGCTTCAGTCTTACAGCTCTGTGAATTTGGAATGCTTTTCCAATTCTGTGATCCTCAGGTTTTTATCTGTCAGTCGGGGATAAACTTTGTATGTAGTTCCCAGAATTGTCTCATCTGATGCAGGTAATGCAGAAAGTACCTGGTTTGTCATAAGCCTCAATAAGCTAGTATGAGCTTGCACATGAACTGTTATCACTAGATATGAAAACAGTATTGATGAGTCATTTGTCAGTGTGCTTCAAAAGATAAAGCTTTTTCAAAACTACATTTTAAATTTTAACGTGCTTTACAATATGCATCTAAATTCTATAAGAACATTTTCACTTTATTTTTTTAGACTTCACACTTTTTGTATTATATTTAAACGTCATGTGAAAAAGTGAAAATAAGCAATTTAATATAAACTAAAGCATGCTGCTTTTAATACTCATCCCTTAGAATGCTAAATTTAATTTTAAATCATTTTCTGAAGAAACTCCAAGGTA